GTGTGCCCACACACCCCCCCCCCCCCCCGCCCCAGTGATAAATGACAAGACTTAGAAATAAGAATGTATTCTCATAAATGAAAAATTTGAAATATTTAGTGATATAATTAATAGACTTAGGATATGCAGCTGCAGTTTCCTCAAAACAAAACTGTCTGTTCACGCACAGAGGCTCTTTCTGCCCAGGAATAAAGATGCTTTTTTAATACTGAGCCTACGGCTGGGGTTGTCTTGCAACGCCTTCGAAAAAAAACGTTTGCCTGTGGCCGGAATTTCCAGGCTACGGGGAGATGCTGCGTCAGTACAAAGGTAATTAGCTTTTTTTTAAACAAACAAACAAGGTTTTAGCATCTATTCCCTGTACTCACTAATAATATTTATCAAAGTTCAGTACACCCTGTGCCATATTCAGTATACCAGGTGTATTATATTTCAGTATTTGCGGGAGAAATAGAGCTATGTCCCTTTTACTCTATCTTTTACTCTGGTTTTGAGTTTTCTGAGGAACTGGCAGAAAATCCTGTACCCCGTCTGCTTGCGAGAGTGGAGCAGCGTGAAAGAAAGAGGCTGCTAAGGAGCCAGGCATCTCAGTCCTGACGTGTTCACCATCTCGGCAAGGCATAAATCTGAAGTGCGACACACAAGTCATAAGAATCAAGTCCCTTCTAGGAAAACCAGTAACAGATAATTTTTTAAATTACCAGAGCATAGAAAGGTCACTATTTGACTGACTAGAGAGCAGAGCAAACGGGATTAAAAACTCTGGGTTAAGACAGAAAGAGTAGAAAGGAAGGAGACAGAAATACTTACTTTCATCATTTCATCGATAGTTGCCAGCACGTTTTGATCATTGAAGTTCTTCAGCTCTGCCCTGTAGGCATGCAGATCCTCATAGATGCCCTGCAGGCATTTACTCTGCAAAAGTCAGAATTATTAGGGAACGCAGGAATGTGTCGTTAAATGCTTTAAACATACAACAAGCAAAAGAAAGGGGTTCTTTGGGGAAACTTGCAATTTACCGTATCAAAAGTAGATCTTTCTAGTGCTGGACAGTTTCCAGTCTGCAAATTAAAGAAGAAATGAGACACGGTGATTTTGTGGAAGTGTGAATTATACAGCTGTTCCATGACAATATGACGCTGAAACTTGATTTTTAAATTATTTTTTTTTTTTTACCCCTGGATCTTCAGATGTGCAAGCTTTTATCGTGTTGATTTGATTCTTAGTGATATCTTCAAGATCGACCTCTTCAAGGGTACATTCAAATCCCAGCGTGCCGAGCTCCTGTGTTAAAAAGGGAATAAAAAGGGGTTATTGACTCACTTTCATGGCACTGTGTGTATATATATATATATATGTAAATACACACAATTATAAGTGATGTGTCACAGCTGTCTGCGCTTAGCTGAATCCTGGGAATGAGGCTGCGTGAGGACGATGCTCAAACACAAAAGCTAGAAAATAGACTGAGACTGAAGCGCGTGTGGCAGTTGTGCCTAATGGGAATAAGCTCGGGCTTTGCACAGATCTGGTTTATATGTTCTTGCAAATCGCACTGCCTCCATTACTTTAGATTATTCTCTCAGACACTGAATTTATTGAGAACTTTATGTGGCTATAGTTTCAAATGTAAAGTCTCTCTCAGAAAGTGAAAAATAACTAATGTCATCCGCATAGACATTTAACGGTGCTCACTGACCCACGGCGAGTGTGGAACAACGCACCTATTGAGCGGTGGGGGTTTTTTGTAGGTCTCCGAGATGAAGCTTGCCACAATAGCAGGGAATTTTAGCAAAAAAAATTTAAAAAAATCCCCTTGGCACTACTGCCAAGAGGCTTTAGCATGGAAAGATGCTGCTACAGCACCAACCCGACGACACCAACAACATGCAAACATAACGACAAAGTCGGGAGCAGGTATTTCTGAGCCAGCTCTGCAGAGGCCTTAGAGAAAGAGCATGTTCAAAACTGAGAGCGCTCAAATCAGCTGTAGATGCATTGCTGGCACCGGTAACGGTGTGTGTGTTTCTGCGGGGCTGCGGTGATTGAGAAAGACACCTGAGCGAATCCCCATCCGAAAGGGATGGTCAGAGGAGGTGTGAAAGCAAAGACCAGTTACAGAGTCCGAAAGGAAGAGTACAGAGAGCGTCCGTCTGCCTGGGTCCCCTCGGCAGCCCATCGCCTCCTTGCCTGGGTACCATCACTGCTCCATCGCTGCCCGCCTGGGTCCCACCACCAACCCGTCACCTCCTTGCCTGGGTATCGTTACCGTCCTCCTAGGTCACTGCCTGGCTTGGTACGCCCACCAACCCCTCACCTCCTTGTGTGGTTTCCATCACTGTCCTACTGGGTACCGTCACTGCCCGCCTGGGTCCCGTCACCGCCTGGCTTGGTAGGCTCACCAGCCCATCACCTCCTTCCCTGGGTCCCATCACTGTCCTACTGGGTATCCTCCCCAACCCGTCACCTCTTCCCCTGGGTCCCATCACCTCCTTGCCTGGGTCCCATCACTGTCCTTCTGGGTACCCTCCCCAACCCATCACCTCCTTCCTTGGGTCCCATCACCTCCTTGCCTGGGTCCCATCACTGTCCTTCTGGGTACCCTCCCCAACCCATCACCTCCTT